TGCTTATTTTAGGCAAGAGGAGTATTGGCTGCTGGTGTTTTTTCATGAGATTTCACCTCGCTCTTTATTCCTTAATAATGAAAAATTTAGAGTATGAATTTGTTTCATCAAATGGTTAGATAATACAACTTTCCTCTTTTCTACAACCAGAATGTCTTTTTTGTAGGTTTGATACTATTCTAGAATGCAGAGTGGAAGTAAACAACAATGGTTTATGTGCAGGGTCTGTGAATTGCCCCCCAATATCCATTTACCTGGTATGTGGTCATGAGATTAGGTCTGGCCACTTCTTCCATTGAGGGAGCCTGTCCCTTGAAATTGGGCTTGACCATGTGACTTTGTCAGGCTAACAGGATACTTCAAAATGGGATGCCAATAGACTTAAAGGTGCTACCCACTGGGGCATGCCCTCTCTTACTGCTGGGAACCCTTCATCACCATGTAGAGAAGCCCATCCCAGCATCCTGGAGGATGAGAGACCCCATGGAGAGAAGCCCTGGTCACTCCAGCTGAGGGCCAAGATACACAACAGAGGCCATCCTAGAACACCAGCCCCAGCCAAGCCAGCCCAGAGAAGAACTACCCAGCTGGTCACGGAATCATGAGAAATAAAAAGTTCTAAGCCATTACATTTTGAGATTGGTTTGTTACACAGCAAGAGCTGACTGATACACAGTTATTTTGAGTGTTCTGCCGCAGTCAGTATATGTTCATCAGTGCTCCCATCTTTACAGAAGCTCAGCCCGTCCTTCCCCAAATGACTGAAACTCAACCATGTGACATGTTAGGAATAAAACTAAAGTCAAAAAGGAAAATGTACTTATTTGCCTCACAGCTGTTGCTCTTTGTTGGTTACTTCGTCCTTCTAGTGTTATTTCCTCTTTTAGATGTTCCCAATTATCTTTGTGGTCTGCTTTTATTGAGACCTGCCATCAATCAGCCCCAGCTAGGACTATACAGACACGTGCATGTCCCTCTCTGAAGAAGAGGCCCACCGGTTCTGAGTGGGGTTTTACAAGGTGACAGGGGAGGAGCTCCCTCCCCCCAACACCCTGGCTCCTCTCCCATCAGATCTGTGGAGTGGGGAAACCCTTGAATATGGGACAGATCCTCCGTATTTGGAGACAAGATTTAAATTTAAAATTCATATCATTCCCAGATACTTATTTACATACTAAGCAATAAATTACTGATGTCAGCTTCTGTCCAAACATGCTGGTCTCCACGAGGGTAAAAGAAGAGAAAGTAAAAGGGAACTGGGGCTGGTGTGAGGTGGGAGGATCCTAAGAGGGCAGGACAGGTTCAAAGGGAAGAGCGGGAATGGTGGCAGGTGCCCCCACCTGCTCCATGGGCTCTGACCAGGTGTCCAAATCATGGATGACTAACAAATGCTTGTTGGCACTCACCTTTCCTGACCTCCTCTTCCACCTCCAAAGCATCTGAAATCTTGATCTCGAGGTCCCGGTAGCTGACCTTGCCCTTCCACTCTTCTCCGTGCACAAGTTTTTTCAGTTTTAGCACCAGAGGACATCTTGTCACAATACCTAGGAGGTCACATCCAAATCAGTTCTCTGCTCTGCTCTCAAAAGTCCTATATGATGCCTTAAACCTATGGTTCTCAAACATTTATACAGTCATCTGGGAGACATTTAAGATGGAAAACTTTCTGGTCTCACTGTCTGATGCTCTGATGCGTCATGTCAGGGCAACCTCAGGAATGCGCTTTCTGAGTATGCATCCCCAGTGAGGTTTTGCTCACTAGTGCTTAAAAGCCACCACTTCAGGCTTCCCAATTCATCCCAGTGTTCTGCAATAGCTCAGGTGGAAAACTGCAGTGGGAAACCCCCTAAACTTATGCAAGCATCCTCCATTATCCCCCTAACATACCCACTCTACTCCCATTTGGAAGGCATACTGCTCCCATCAGGCCACCTTCCCACTATCCCCCTACTCCATCCAAACCTTTCCTATCTACCCTGTCTGACCTCTGTTCCAAGACCCATCTCAGGTCTGACCTTTTCCCTTGAGGTCTCACTGATATCCTTGGCCTTACAACACAGACAGATCAGTAATCTAAGCACCAATCTATCTCCCAAAATGGTGGGTCTCCTGTTGGGACGCGGCTCAGGAAAGACACGCACATGCACATAGTTCTGGGCTAGGGACCCAAATGCATTAATTCAGATCTCTCCCAAACTGCAGATTATATACAACACACACAAAATGTGCAATGGATGGTATTATGGACTAAACAGTGTTCCCTCCAAATTCATATGTTGAAGCACTAACCCCCAATGTGACTGTATTTGGAGACACGGCCTCTAAAGAGCTAATAAAGGTTAAATGAGGTCATAATAATAGGGTCCTAATCCAATATGACTGGTGTCTATATAAGAAGGGGAAGAGACACTAGGGATGTTTTCACACAGAGGAGAGGCCAGGTGAGGGTGCAGTGAGATGTTGTCATTTCTAAGCCAAGCAGAAGGGCTTCAGGAGAAACCAAACCTTCATCTTGAACTTGCAGCCTCGAGAAAATTAATTTCTGAGGTTTAAGTCACCCCATCTGTGGTATTTTGTTATGACAGCCCTCGCAGACTAACAAAGAGTGTAAGTTCTTACCGCTGCCTCTGGGAAGGGCGACTCCTGACAGAGCTTCCAGCACAGAGCTCTTGCCTGAGCTCTGGTCCCCAATGACGGCAATGGCAGGCAGGGCCAAGTCCTGCTCCACGCCCAGGGCCCGGAGGGAGTCAATGAGGTCGATGTAGGGGCGCACCTTCTCCTCATACTGGCTATACAGTTTGTTCTCGATCCCCTGGACAAGGTGAAAATTGAAAATTCTGTCATGGTCTGCAGGTCATGTTCCATCAAAGATGGCCAATTTCAATAAGCCTAACATACAGGTTATTGGAATTCCCAAAAGAGAGTGAGAGAGGAACAGGAAAAAAATATTTTAAGAAATAATACACACAATTTTCTCAAACTTAATGGAGACTAGAAATGCAAAGATCTAAGAAACTCAATAAACACCAAGCACAGGAAACAAAGTAAACTACATCAACATGCATTAGGTCAAATTGCTCAAAACCAGTGACACAGAGATACAGAGAAAATGTTAAAATTACCCAGAAAATGACATATATACAGAGGAACAAAGATGAGACTGAAAGCAGATTTCTCATCAGAAACAATTCAAGTGAGAAGACAGTGGAACAACATTTTTAAAGTACTGAAAACACCATCAACCTAGAATTCTATACCCAGCAAAAATATCTTTTAAAAATGAAGGCAAAATAAAGTCTTCAGATATCCAAAAGCTGAATGAATTCATCACCAGCAGACCTGAACTAGAGAAAATGTCAATGTCCTTCAGGCAGAAGGAAAATGATACTAAATAGAAATTGGGATCTACACACAGGAATCTATACCATAAGTGGAAACTACTATACTTTTTCTTATTACTTAAACGTCTTTAAAAGCTAATCAACTGTTTGAACAAAAATGATAACAGTGTACTGTGAGGTTTACCATATATATAAAGATGCATGACAAAAACAGTAAGGAGGCTGGGACCAAGAGAAGTAGATGTACACTATTGTAAGGGTCTTATGCTGTCCATGAAGAAATATGCAATCATTTGAAAGTAGATTTAAGTCAAATACTAAAAGAGTTACACTTAATAAGTGAACAAAAGGAACAAAATGGCATCATGAAAAATACTTGATTAATCCAAAAAAAGGCAGAAAAAGAGGAGAAGGGGAATGAAGAACAGATGGGACAAATAGAAAACAAATAGCAAAATTATATTCTCAAACTTAATTATATTAGCAATCACATTAAATATAAATGATTTAGTACTCCAAGAATGGTCAAATTGACTTTGAAAAGGAAGAACAAAGTTGGAGAGCTAGCACTACCTGATTTCCATAATTATTATAAAGTTATGGTAACTAAAACAGTGTGGTATTTCTGTAAAAGCAGGGAAAGAGATCAGTAGAACAGAACACCACTCCAGAAATAAACACTCTCTGACATGTGACAAAGGTGCAAAGGCAACAAAGAGGGAAGTCAGGTTTTTCAACAAGTGGTATGAAGACAAAAAGAAAAAAAAAGAACTGGCATCTATACCTTACACCATATATAAAAAAGTTAACTCACAATGGATTATAGACCTAAATGTAAAACCTAAAACTGTAGAACTCCTAGGGAAAACATCGGGGAAAATCTTTGCATCTGTGGGTTAGGCAATGTTTTCTTAGATATGGCCTCAAAGGCACACTCCATAAAACACTACTGAAAAACTGCAATTCACACAAAAGTTAAAAACACCCGATCTTTAAGAGAGACTGTTAAGAGAAAGAAGAGACAAGCCACAGTCTGGGAGTGAACGTTTGTAAAGTACATCTCCAACAAAAGACTTGTATCCAGAATATACAAAGAACTATCAAAACTCAACAGTAAGAAAACAAACAACTTGATTAAAAAATAGGCACATGATTTGGAGAGACACTTCACCAAGGAAGTTAGAGGGATGACAAACAAGCACATAAAAAAGATGGTAAATACTTCCAGGGAAATGCAAATGAAATTAACAATGCTTCAAATTAGTGGATTTTGTTGTATGTAAGTTACAACCTCAATAAAGCTGATTTTAAAAAGGCAAAAGTAAGTATAAGAAGCACATAGAAGGTATACATGAAATTTTCAAGTGGTTTATCAGAATCACGACTAAAGCAATGACTGTTCTGTATAACATAATTTTAGAAATTAAATAGAGAAATATTAACAAACATACAACATCAAAAATATGAGAAAATGAGAAGCGCCTGGGGTCCTGAGGCGGTGGGCTGCAGGCCTCGGCCCTGCCAAAGGCCAACCACAATGAGGCCAGCAACCGAGCCAGCTGTGGGCCAGCTCTGTCCCCTCTTTCTCCCTCCCCTCAACAACATCTTAGAATGTACTTATTAAAAAATATATATATGAGAAGTTGCCACTATAAATGCTTTCAGGCAAAGAAGGGTAAAAAAAGACAAGATTAGCTGCTCAGGGCATTCTAGGCACAGTGGACTCCACTGCTGCTGCTCCTCTCTCCTGTCAGCCGTCGCCTGAGATGGTCTCTAAGGAGGAGCAGAATCATACTTGTCCTTCCCACCACACCATCAGCTGGATGTGACTTTCTAAAAGAGGTCTGATTGGGGTCTAGGAAGGAAATATGAGAACATCATTTTATCTTTGACCCCTTTCTTTCCAGTGTCTACTTTTGTATGTGCTTAATATACATAACTGTTTCCTAGAATAGTTCCTTTATATCAGGGCAAGAAGCTATTCATATTTTGGGCCAGATAATTCTTTGTTATGAGGTGCCGTCCCATGCATTGTAGGAAGTTTAGCTGAACCCTGGCCTCTATTCACCATTCACCAAGAGTTGAGACAATGAAAATGTCTCTGGACACTGGCACAAGTTCCAAGGGGCAAAACAGTCCCTTGTTGAGAACCACTGCCTTACAGAATGGACAAATATAAAAATGTATATATGGGGAGTTCCAAAAACTTTTCTGCAGAGAAGGGGGTACTTACTGACTGTTGGCTAATATACCCTCTGCCAGAAAAGCAAAATGGCGTTAAAGACCGAGATACACAAAATGGCACCTGAGAAAGTTTCCCAGAAAACCCCCACCTGGAAAAATCCCCTAGCTGCCATGTCACCTTCCCGTGGGCGCAATTTTGCCCGCCTATGAGAAAGTCCCAGCTCAGTTTAAACCCCACTCGCTTCCCTCCCCTTCCTTCTTAGCCAATAGGAACAGCCCAGCTCAGCCTCACTGGATATAAAAGGCCCATCCGACTCTCCCTGCTGCTGCTCCCACTTTCCAGAGGGCAGCCTTCTTGTTCATTTTGCCTGCCTAATACACTTTGGTTGAGTCCCCGTCTCATGGTGTGTCTTGTTTTGCGCTCGGGCTGGGGTTTTTCCTTTCATTGGTGCCATGACTCGGATGGGTTTCCCCACCCTAGTGGGACCCTATCCCTTTATCTGCCCATGGCCCGGAGCCCACACTAGTGACGACACTCAGCCCGGCCCTTCTTCCTGATCACCACCAGCACATCCAACACCAGCCTCTAGTTGGTGAGTCTTTGAATTACTGCTTTCATTTCTCTCTCTCTCTCCCTCTCTCTCTCTTCGGGACTTGGCAGGTTAAGCTGGGTCTGCCCTTTCCCTGCCCTCTCATTTGCTGTGGGGTTTGTTTCTGCCCTCCAGACACTCACAAGCCCCGCACCGGGTGTCCCAAAACTCTGTGACCCTCTAGGGTCCCTCAACCGCCAGAAACCGGTGACAACCGCTTTTGGTGGTGTGAGACCTCTCAGTACCCCAACCGAAGCGGGGATGCCCCTTCAGGTCCAGTACTTCCTTCTCCATTCTCATGGGTGGTGTCACATCTCTCCCGGCCGACTCCCCTCTAAAATGTCTCCTGACTAATCTTCACACTTTGGGTCTGACTCTGGATATTAAGCAAAACAAACTTGTTAGGTTTTCCACCCAAGAATGGCCCAACTATAATTTAGATAACCAAAACAGGTGGCCTCCCTTTGGGTCCCTCAACCCCGACACTCTACGGGACTTATATAACTTCTGCGAGCGATCAGGAAAACGAGCTGAAATTCCCTGTGTCCAGGCTTTTTCTTACCTCTGTTCTAACCCTGCTTTATGTACCACCTGTGCCCCAAAACAGGTCTTATTAGTGTCTAAGCCTTCTCTGCCCGCCCCCTCCTACCCTTCCCCTGACTTCGACTCAGCAGATGAGCCCCGCCCCCATATTGGGGACACGTTCCTCGCCCACTCCAACCAGCATCGGCTCTTCCTGCCTCTTCTGCCCCTCTCACGCCACCACATCCTTCCAGCCCCCCTCATACACGAGCCCAAGCCCGTGAAACCTGGCCCACCCTTCCGGCCCAACCTCCGCTTTTAACTCCTCTCCGAGAGGTGGCAGGAATGGAGGGTATCGTTAGAGTCCATGCCCAAATCGAGAAACGCTTGGGTTCTTATACAACTAACCCAGTTCTCTACACAAAGGAATTCTGATACCTCTGCCAGACCTATAGCTTAACTTTCCATGATGCCCGCTCTATCCTCACAAATCCTTTATTGCCAGAAGAACGTAGACGAGTCTGGCTAGAGGCCAGGGCATATGGAGATGAAGCCCACCAAACCACACCCGCTCACCCAATTGGGGCACAGGCTGTCCCAGAAACCGACCCTCATTGGGATTCTAACCCCCCCCCCATTGGCTCTCCGTGATCAGTTTCTTACTTGCATAGTGGCGGGGCTTAAAAGGGCCACACAAAAACCAGTTAAATATGAAAAAATCCAAGAAATAATACAAGATAAAAATGAAAATCCTTCTTTCTTAGATCGCCTCACTGAGGCTGTTTTACAATATACTAACATAGACCCAGAGACCCCAAAGGGAAGACAACTTCTCAGGACCTATTTCTTTAACCAGAGTTCCCCTGACATAAAGGGCAAATTAAAGAAAATGGAAAGGGGGGCCCTCACTCCTCAAAATGAAGTACTGGCTGCCACATTCAAGGTTTATAATGGCTGAGACGATATGGAAAGGGGGCCCCTCACTCCTCAAAATGAAGTACTGGCTGCCACATTCAAGGTTTATAATGGCTGAGACGATAAGGCCAAATGCCAAAAGTACCAACTACTGGCACAGGCCTTAAAGGGGTCCACACCCTCACCAACGACTGCCTTTTCAAGGGGCCCAACCACACCAAAGGGACCCCCGGGTCCCTACTTTAAGTGTGGTAAGGAAGGACATTGGGCACGATCATGCCCCAACCCCCATAGAGAGACTGGACCTATCTCAAACCCCACACCCAGCCTTCTAGGACTGGCGTCGGACGACTGACGGGGCCCAGGGCACCCTCTACCTACGACAGCCCTCACCACCACCAGGGAGCCCAGGGTACATCTCGCAGTTGAGAGCCACCCCATTTCTTTCCTCCTTGATACCCATGCCACTTTCTTAGTATTAATGGAGTTTTGGGAACCTACCTCCTCTTCCACACCGCCTATTGTTGGGGTAGGGGGCAAAGCCATTTTTCCACTAAAAACTCCCTGGATAACTTGCCACTTTGGGGACCATTCTTTTGCTCATCAGTTTCTCGTGATGCCACAATGCCCAACCCCTTTGTTAGGTCAAGACACATTGGCCAGGTTCCAGGCCTACATCTCTTTCCACCATACCCCCTTCACTGCTCTTATTGGTTGCCGGAGCGGCCCAAACTCCAGACGAACCAAATCTTCCTCCGCCACTATCCAAAGTTAATCCCCAAGTTTGGGATACTTCAACTCCCTCTTTAGTCCATTGCTAACCAGTTTGAATCTCCCTCAGAGACCCCAAAATTTCCCTCACCAGGCCCAATACCCTCTTCCTACCAGTAGCCTGCTAGGGTTACAACCAATTATCAATGAGCTATTAAGGAACGGTTTCATTCAGCTCACAAACTCCCCCTACAATACTCCCATCCTGGCAGTTAAAAAAACTCCCAACACTTTCCGGTTAGTCATCATTAACAAGGCAGTTGTGCCCATCCATCCTTTAGTTCCTAATCTATGCACACTTTTATCCTCTATCCCTGCATCCCACCTATTTCTCAGTGGTGGATTTAAAGGACACCTTTTTCGCTGTCCTGTTACATCCAAATTCCCAAAGCCTTTTTGCATTTACCTGGACTGATGCTCAATCTCATCATTCCCAACAACTCACTTGGATGGTCCTTCCCCAAGGTTTCTGGGACAGCCCCTATTTATTCGGGCAGGTCTTAGCAGAGGACCTCTGCGGGTTAGCTTTCACCCATTCCACACTCGTTCAGTATGTGGATGATCTTTTGTGCAGCCCTTCTTATCCCATTTCCATAACCAATACCATTTCCCTCCTCAACTTCTTAGCAGACAAAAGATACAGGGTTTCTCCCCAAAAGGTCCAAGCCTTTAAACCCTCAGTCAAATATCTGGGAGTTCAGATCTCCCACGACTCCAAGGCCATAACAGTAGACCGAAAACAACACCTTCGAGACTTGCCTGTTCCAAAATCTAAGGATGAAATGTTATCATTTTGGGGCCTTGCGGGGTACTTATGAGCTTGGGTTCCAACTTACTCCTTTCTTGCCAAACCTTTATATGACTCTCAGGGCGACTCAAAGGAACTTCTAGATAAATCCATCAAAACCCCTTTCGAAAACCTCAAGCGGGCTCTCCTTAGAGCCCCAGCTTTACATTTACCTGACTTACAATGGCCCTTTGTTCTATATGTGCACAAGAACAAGGGCTTTGGGTTGGGTGTGTTAGGACACCAGAGGGGGTCCTCTTTCACCCCAGTGGCCTATTTGTCAAAAAAACCTTGATCCCACCATTCGTGGGTGGTCCCTCTGCCACAAGGCATTGGCAGCCACTCACGTGCTTCTTCAAGAAGCAAAATAACTCTCTTTTGGCAGCCCCACCAGTGTATTCTCACCTCATCAATTAAAGGATCTTTTGACTTATAAAGGGTTACAAACCCTCCCAAAGAGGGGGCCCTCTTTTGCCCCACTGGCCTATTTGTCAAAAAAACTTGATCCCACCATTTGGGGGTGGGCCCCCTGCCTCAGGGCATTGCCGGCTGCTCAAGTGCTTCTTCAAGAAGCAAAGAAACTCACTTTTGGCAACCCCACCAGTGTATTTTCACCTCATCAATTAAAGGATCTTTTGACTTATAAAGTATTACAAACCCTCCCACGCTGCTGGGCCCTATCTCTCCTCGTTTCCTTCATCCATGATCCTTCTATAACTTTCCAGACTTGTGCCCCTTTAAATCCTGCCACCCTTTCGCCTGTTTCTGAAGAAACTCCCTTCCATCAATGTATCAAGTCTTTAGAAATCCTCCTCCCTGGGGGAGAGAGGGAGGAGGGAGTGAGGTGTCGGTGACGGGCCATAATAATCATATACAGTGTATATTGACAAAATAAAAAAAAATAAATAAAAAAGAAAAAAAAAAAAAAGAAATCCTCCTCCCTTGCCTGTCTCACATCTCAGAAGGGCCACTAGACAACCCCACAAACATCTGTTTTACAGATGGTAGCTCTTCCTTAATAAATGGAGTATGAAGGGCAGGATATGCCATCGTATCCTCCACTAGTATCATTGAGGCCAGAGCTTTGCCACCCAACACAACCAACCAACTGGCAGAACTCGTGGCGATCACCCGGGCTTGTGAGCTATCTGCGGATGAATCCCTTACATTGTACACTGATTCTAAATATGTGTTCCACATGCTTTTGTCATATGCGGCAATTTGGAAGGAGAGGGGCCTTTTAAACACAAAAGGAGTCACATTTACCAATTCAAAGTTTATCACTAGACTTTAACAAGCATCCCTTTGGCCTTCCAAAATAGGCATAGTCCAGTGCTGGTCACATCAATCTGACTTCTCTCCCATCACCATAGGTAATTCTGGGCGGACCAGGCTGCCAAGCAAGCAGCCATGTCTTCCGACCCATGACTGGTTATGGTCACAGCCCCGCAAACCCCTTCTGAGAAACCCTCAAAGGATCCACAGAGACACCAACTTTTACCTTACTTACACTCTTTGTTCCACCCTAGTGTACATAACCTAAAATTATTCTGAGCTTCTTTCTTCTCTCTAACCCCAGAAGATAAATTTTTTCTCTAAGATTTAACCAAAAAATGTCAAATTTGCTAAAAAACGAATCCCAATACCCCATTACGGCCCATTGCTTTTCCAACACACCAGGTTAGAGGGCACACCCATGGAACGGATTGGCAGGTTGATTTCACTCACATGCCAAGAGTGCATAAACATTCTTCTCTCCTTGTTTTCGTGGATACATTTTCTGGATGGGTAGAAGCATACCCAACATTGAATAAGAGAGGATCCACGGTGGTTTCCCTCCTCCTTTCACATATCTTCCCACGATTCGGGGTCCCCACATCATTCCAGTCGGACAATGGTCCCAAATTCATTCCCCAGGTTACGCAAAGGGTTGCAAGAGGTCTCAACATCCCATGGCATTTTCATATCCCTTATCACCCCCAATCATCAGGAAAGGCTGAACGAACTCCACACTAATTGGGTAACATTACTCCCTTTAGCCTTGTTCTGCCTCCAAGTTCTCCCAAAGCGGCCCTCTTCCCTATCTCGATTTGAGGTCACGTATGGCCGCTCGGACATACCCCCCAGATTAATTCCTTCCCCTGGTCATCTGCCAGGACATCTCTCTTACCCACTTCTTTCTTTTATCTGCTTGGAGCTGTGGAAGCATTAAGAAACCCTTTTACCTAGCNAACTTCTCATGACCTATTTCTTTAACCAGAGTTCCCCTGACATAAAGGGCAAATTAAAGAAAATGGAAAGGGGGCCCCTCACTCCTCAAAATGAAGTACTGGCTGCCACATTCAAGGTTTATAATGGCTGAGACGATAAGGCCAAATGCCAAAAGTACCAACTACTGGCACAGGCCTTAAAGGGGTCCACACCCTCACCAACGACTGCCTTTTCAAGGGGCCCAACCACACCAAAGGGACCCCCGGGTCCCTACTTTAAGTGTGGTAAGGAAGGACATTGGGCACGATCATGCCCCAACCCCCATAGAGAGACTGGACCTATCTCAAACCCCACACCCAGCCTTCTAGGACTGGCGTCGGACGACTGACGGGGCCCAGGGCACCCTCTACCTACGACAGCCCTCACCACCACCAGGGAGCCCAGGGTACATCTCGCAGTTGAGAGCCACCCCATTTCTTTCCTCCTTGATACCCATGCCACTTTCTTAGTATTAATGGAGTTTTGGGAACCTACCTCCTCTTCCACACCGCCTATTGTTGGGGTAGGGGGCAAAGCCATTTTTCCACTAAAAACTCCCTGGATAACTTGCCACTTTGGGGACCATTCTTTTGCTCATCAGTTTCTCGTGATGCCACAATGCCCAACCCCTTTGTTAGGTCAAGACACATTGGCCAGGTTCCAGGCCTACATCTCTTTCCACCATACCCCCTTCACTGCTCTTATTGGTTGCCGGAGCGGCCCAAACTCCAGACGAACCAAATCTTCCTCCGCCACTATCCAAAGTTAATCCCCAAGTTTGGGATACTTCAACTCCCTCTTTAGTCCATTGCTAACCAGTTTGAATCTCCCTCAGAGACCCCAAAATTTCCCTCACCAGGCCCAATACCCTCTTCCTACCAGTAGCCTGCTAGGGTTACAACCAATTATCAATGAGCTATTAAGGAACGGTTTCATTCAGCTCACAAACTCCCCCTACAATACTCCCATCCTGGCAGTTAAAAAAACTCCCAACACTTTCCGGTTAGTCATCATTAACAAGGCAGTTGTGCCCATCCATCCTTTAGTTCCTAATCTATGCACACTTTTATCCTCTATCCCTGCATCCCACCTATTTCTCAGTGGTGGATTTAAAGGACACCTTTTTCGCTGTCCTGTTACATCCAAATTCCCAAAGCCTTTTTGCATTTACCTGGACTGATGCTCAATCTCATCATTCCCAACAACTCACTTGGATGGTCCTTCCCCAAGGTTTCTGGGACAGCCCCTATTTATTCGGGCAGGTCTTAGCAGAGGACCTCTGCGGGTTAGCTTTCACCCATTCCACACTCGTTCAGTATGTGGATGATCTTTTGTGCAGCCCTTCTTATCCCATTTCCATAACCAATACCATTTCCCTCCTCAACTTCTTAGCAGACAAAAGATACAGGGTTTCTCCCCAAAAGGTCCAAGCCTTTAAACCCTCAGTCAAATATCTGGGAGTTCAGATCTCCCACGACTCCAAGGCCATAACAGTAGACCGAAAACAACACCTTCGAGACTTGCCTGTTCCAAAATCTAAGGATGAAATGTTATCATTTTGGGGCCTTGCGGGGTACTTATGAGCTTGGGTTCCAACTTACTCCTTTCTTGCCAAACCTTTATATGACTCTCAGGGCGACTCAAAGGAACTTCTAGATAAATCCATCAAAACCCCTTTCGAAAACCTCAAGCGGGCTCTCCTTAGAGCCCCAGCTTTACATTTACCTGACTTACAATG